AAATGCCCTGAAAATTTACAGATATGTAGTTCACATAATCAAGAACTCATTAAAACATTTTTAAAAAATAATAAATTTTTTTAGGCCCCGAAATAAAGTGAAAACAAAAAGTTTAAAGTGAAAAAAAACAAAATAGTGAGTGGGCGAGCACGTTTTGACACCCCCATCTTTGACAATTTTTAATGTTTTTTTGGCTTAGCAGAATGTCTTTAAAATTGATAGTGTGAATTTCAACGAAAGCAACTGCCGCCAGCAAAAGCAATGTCACAACGAAACGAAAATCATACCAAGTGCTCGAGAGTGGGAGAAAAGAGAGAAAGAGAGAGAGAGAGAGAGAGAGAGAGAGAGAGAGAGAGAGAGAGAGAGAGAGAGAGAGAGAGAGAGAGAGAGAAGGGAAGAAGACAAGTAGACAAAGGATAAAATCGAAACTCCCGAACACGACATTAAAAAATATGTATCAATGAAGCACAGGCGGTATGACCCGACTAGTTTTGGCCGGCCACCACCGGCTACTCATCAGGGGTCTTGGTCGTACGTCGTGAGATGTCCAACAATTGTGGACTTCTCCTGTTTATATCCTGTAGACTTCAAGATAAACCGTAGAAATCTTCAAGGGTCAAAGAAAGCCCTAGAGACTACCGAGTGATAACAAGTCCACTAAGTCATGAAACCGCACACCAAGATTCGAACACCTGACCACAGCCGAAAACACAAGTACGCCTACTACCGGTCTCTAGACTGTTCCAGGCCAAAAATGACACCACTGTGAACAGCCAAGATGATCAAATCGCTCCGGGACTGGAAACCGCGAGTCGAAAAAAACGTTTTCCGCAACAACACAAATCAAGGTCCCATACATGTTAACTCCGGGGCTATAACCCGCAAGTTAGCACGGTGGACCATCCCATTTGAACACCGGGACTCAAACCCGTGAGTCCGAACAACAAAACCAAATGAGTAGGGCCCTACATCATAGCCCCTTATTATGCTACGTAGATCTCACGATACAAATATCAATAAGGCCAAGACCAAGTTAGGCTCATTCAAACACACGGCTACACTTCCACAACATCCTAGACACTGCTCACGATACGGCCCCAATTGGTGAGAATTGGAATCCAGTGGTCCCAGCAATGCGAGAACTTTCTCGAGAAATTGACCAGAGCTCGATCAAAGAAGAGGTCGGGATATCTCCGGAGCCACAACTCATGTTTCTGCATGAAAAGAAAAGGTAGTACCAGATCGGGAATGGAGGTGAAAGCCCTAGCCCTATGGAAAAATGAACCAATAGCAACAAGTTTTTGTTGCTTGCTAGAGAAGGAGTGATAGTCCTGAATGCATTGGAATATCAGAGGTTCGTTGATCTTGCCAGTCTGATTCTTGTTTGTCGCCCTACACACCACGCGACACGGATTGTCCAAAATCATCAATGCACATCCAATAAACTCTTATTCAGAAGAAGTACTGGTCCGCTCCAACACCAACGCCTTGTCGTAACATGACCGAAATTCCCCCATGATTTGTACTGCTGTCATCCAAGATCGAGGGTCAGACAAGCGAAATTTCACAAAGAATGAAACGTCATCTACAATTCTACAGCCGTGCACCAACAACCTGTCATTGCCCAGAGAAGACAGAAATTTGAACTCATCATACACACAGAGAAGACATGCAAGAGCCGGACTCGTGGTTTTCCCCATTGGGATACCCACGGTCTGTTGAAACAAACGGCCAGAGACCATCACATAAGTGTTGCAGAGTTCATACCGCACCAAGGCCATGATCTTTGAAAATTTGAGTCGAACCCAGCCTGGTTCGCCTTTCCCACGTGTCAAGCTAACTGCTTTACCATGAGCACACACCAACACAGCAGCGAACCCTTCACTTGTCCAAAAATCAAGAACCCAGCTGACGACACGAAGAATGGAGGGATGTGGTAAGTTTGAGAACATCTCTTTAACGTCAAACGAACCTCCCACCAATGTTTCATCATCAATTGAATCCGCAATTGATTCTTACTATCCTTTTCATCACGTCCGTCGTACATTGAAGGTTAAAATGCATCTTCTCAGGAAGCTTCCACAACAAGCAATTGATAGCCCTCCCTACACGTTCCCCACCAACAGCAGAACGGTCGGAATGTGAGGGGCAGATAGGGCGCCACCGACCAACATCCTTATGTTTCGGTAAACAGTAAGCATTGCCAAATGAACCTTTGTTGTTCCATCTCCCAATCTCGCAGAACTTACTATCAGTATATTGCTTCTTACAAGCCGACAAGATCCCATCCTCCGGAGTAGAAATTGAGACAAAAGAATCGTTACTCAGCAAAAGCTTACTCATACCTCCACCGTAAACGACAGGACAACAAACAAACGTGTCACCTAGATTGTGGTCAAGAGGAGTGCGTGCTAAACCAGCAAGTCTCGCCAATTGTGAACCAACTTCTTTCTCAGAGAAGACCAATTCAGATCGTTCGATCGTAGAATGATTGAGAATACAAGAGCTGAGGAGAGAATTGTCACACAATTCGAGATGGAGGGGAGAAAAACTACCAACAGTTTGGAAGGATCGGAGGATTTGACGCTTCAGGTTAGAGATCGAATGTCCCACTACAGGTCTCAGTACATTCCTAGAATTTCGCATGCAAGAAGGAAAACAGTCTACAAAATTGATGCGGAAGGATACGTGTCCGTCAACTCGAGGAAACAGTGAATCAGCATTCTTACAGCCTCACAAGAAGTCCTCATTCCTTACCACTGTCTGAAAATTGTGGACCAAATCGCCCACTAAGCGATTTCTACACCAAACAACCCTCAGTCGTCGAATGACCATTTCCATCCATGCCGAATCAATATCCAACCTCCGTACGAACTGAGCACAAACGTTGCGTATAGTAGTCTTGCAAAACAAGTCATCATACACAACACGAATAACTAACCACTGACGAACTTGTATTCCAAACGTCTGGCTAATGACTTTGGACAGAATGGTCCGCAGTCTGCTTCGATCCCTTTTCTCCTGAAAACAACGAACTGCCGAATAAGCATAGACTAGATCCCGAAAACGCCAAGAAGCGAGCTGCCGACACGAAGATGGATGACTGCGAAGACGAATAAGATTAGGCTTAAGAGCCAGAGACTTCTTGCAGAAAGGAGCAATGACTTCAAAGACGAGAACAACGCCCCCAACTAACCAGCCTCTTGAACATCGCAACTGGTCCCTGTCATTGTTAACTGAAATGACGGACGAACCATAGCATCGGCGCAACATTTTCCATTTATCAAACAATAAAGGCCTGCCACTACACACAATCGCCACGTGATCAATAAGGTGGTCCCGACAGTAGTTGAGAATACGAAAAAGACTAGATGACGGGACACCACAAGAAAAATGAAAATGCAAAATCGAGGTATTAGAGGCTTTGGTCAACGCAGACACACTTTCTCTTCCTGCGAAGTCTCTCACGCTTCCCCAACCTCTGCTTCTTAGATTTCCTAGGCTTATCACGAGAATTTTATGCGGGTGAGAACAACCGGATATAAAATTTCTCAGTCTCCTCCAAGTCCTCAGCAGAACAATGACAAACAGGGATAGCGATATACTTCTCAACACCATTGCGACGTAGCCAACAGTAAAGCCGCTCATTCCGCCGTCCTTTATTGATTAATGAATCATTACATGCCCTATACACATGCTCTGACCAACGTATTCCAAGATCACGTGATGTACTACCCACGTACAGATTACGACACCATGGAGACAACAAAACATATACCAACGGTCCTTTCGTAATCTCCCCTTTCGTCCACCACTGCAGAAGGCAAGAAGAAAGTTTAGAGGCCCAAGGAATAAGCCCACCAAGAATTAGAGCCAGGACCACTACGCGGAAGAGAGCATCCACATCTCTATACCTCAAATTCTTAATAGATGTCAGACGATAGTGAGAACAATCAGAAGCAATATTCCATAAGTACGTCGCGCTCGGGAGGGACCCTAAGAATCAACGGAGTCTCCTTACCGTCTTTTTCGCCGCCATCATCCGAGACCTCGTCCATTGCTGCCTTCTTACCAAACACCTTCTCCACCCGCTTTTCGATAATATCAATGATGGTTCAAGGTATAGTAGTATATTTGATTCCCTCCTTCGTACAGATCTCCACAAGGTCATCCTTCTTCTTGTTCGCCAATTCCTTTCTTGCTTCCCGAATGAAAGTATCCCGTCCATTCTCTTCGTCAGAGTCATCTCCTCCGCCCACCTTCTTCTTACCCCGCACAGATTTAAAAACAGATCCGCCAGCTGCATCTAGCCGCTGCTGGAAAGCAGACTTCGGTGCTGCCAGCTCAGCTTCCCGCTTCGGAAGCTCCTCTTTGAGCCTGACGTTCTCCTGTTCGGCTTCTCTTCAACGGTTCAGCTCTTGCAATCGCAGCTCCTTGAGCGCGTTGACTTCAAGGGTATACAAGTGTGTTAACTGAGACGTATCTGTGACCGGCCTTCGAATTGCAGATGACGGCACCTTCAACTGTGATGAAGGCGAGGTCGCCATCCGACTGCGTTTGTTACCAGACTTAAGTGTCTCCTTCTTCCAGTCTTCAGCTTCTTGCAAGGCCTCTTCATGCTGCTGCTTGATCGACTTCAACGATGCTTCCAAGGTTTCGACACGTTGATTGGTAGTCGTCGCAGCATCCAGCTTTGCCTTTATTTCCTCATGTTCATGCATAATCCTTGCTAACAGCGCATCATCACAAACCACAGGACGGCTGGTAGATGCGCCGTCGTTCCTTACCGCCGAGCTTTGAGCCAACCGCAATTTTTCCACTTCTTTGAGCAGATTCTCAATTCTCTGGTCGTCAGCCGCGCTGTTCTGCTTCTGCCCTCGTACGACTTCATACATGCTGTCCAACCTCGCATTCATCGCATCATGTGGCTCTTTGTTGAGTGTCTCTTGTTCCTTCTTCTCATTCAACCGTCGCTCTTCTTCTTGTTAAATCTTCCTCTGGTTCTCCTCCTCTTCCTTACGTGCAGCCTCATTCGCCACAACCGCGTCATACCACACCTTCATTTTCTCCACGGTCTCCTCAAGTACGACTACTCTTTGATTAGTGTTGAACCACCCACTACCTTTCGTATACTGCCCACCGGTGTTACTCGCTACCGTACTAGCCGAGGGGGGAGGAAGAGGAACGGGGGGAAGTGGGGGATGTGGAGGAAGAGAGGCAAAGGGAGCGGGTAAGGCAAGAATCAGAGCCTGTCCAGTAGCAGTAGTAGGATTCGTGACTGCTGTCTTGTGAGGACACCACCGGACAAAGTGATTGGGATCTCCGCAATTGTAACAAGTGCGTACACTAGGAGCGGAAGCCATCGTTGTAAGCTACACTAACAAAGTACGAAGCCACTCGTGACGTAGTATAACCTCTACGACGGTTACTCCGTGAGAGGAAGTGTGAATTTCAACGAAAGCAACTGCCGCCAGCAAAAGCAATGTCACAACGAAACGAAAATCATACCAAGTTCTCGAGAGTGGGAGAAGAGAGAGAGAGAGAGAGAGAGAGAGAGAGAGAGAGAGAGAGAGAGA